GTGAGTGGTTTTGAACAGTGCTTGTAGCAAACAGCAGTGCCTTTCCAAGCATCCTCTCCACAGATGTAATTTTGAAAGCAGTGTTATGAGTGACACACAAAAAGTAGAAGAATATCCTTATGTAACTGTCATTTGCTCGTGGAGAAGCATGATTATTTTCAACTCTGCTTTATGTAATGTAAATGTGTGTCTCCGAGAAGGTTATTCTCTCCTGTGAATTATAATGTAGTCCATCTCAGAAGGGGTGATGAGTCGCCTGCAAGTAAATTTTGACATCCTGGGATGTTTCTTTGACATTGAATTTCAGGAGATTGATCTGGTTAAGGCTGGTAATTGTGCCTCCTTCCTTGTGGGCTGTGTGCATATTTGCATGGGAGGGAAATGAATGCAAAGGCGGATGCAGAGTGCTCGCAGCACTTGGGAGTTGGCAGATGAACTCTTTTAGTGGTTGTTTTTTAAAAGTTGCTTTGAGTGGTCTGGGGAATACATTAATTTAATATCCTCTTCATATTCAGAATATGTAACACCGTTGTGAGAAATAAAACCCCAAGGTGAACAAGATTGAAAGTGAAGGCAGCACTCTAAGGAGGAAGCAAGCTGACTTGAATGGTGATGTAAGCAGCCTTGGAGGCAGGCAAATGAAAAGTGCATCCCAGATATTTGTGTGTCTGTCACATTGGTGCTAGCAAGGGTGCAGAGATGTAAGAGATTTTACATCTTTACTGAGTCTGCAGCAAGAATCAGAATTGAAGGGCAAATGTGAGAAATGAGACAGTGTGTAGGTTTCCAAGAAAGATAGGGTGACAAAAATTGCCTGTCACTCCCATTTCAATACTTGTCATGCTGATCTGAAGAATAACATAACTGATCTAAAATTAGGACAAAATAAAAAATTTTGATAATGCATGGCTCTTGATTTCACAGCTTTCTCTTGCACAGTTTATAGCTAGAATCATACATCATGAAGACTTTTTCTGGTTATAAAATAGTAGCATCAAAATATTACAAATAACTGTGCGAACTTTCTTTTAAATTTTGTTATCCATGTAATTTAGACATAGATAAGTTTATGTAGTCATGGATGTTCTCTTAACCTCTCTTGTTTAATGGTTTTTATTTACAATATGGACAAAGCATCATTCATTCCTTCAACTCAACAAATATTCATTGAGTGCTTACTATGTGCAATGCTCTGTTCTGAGTGCTTTTTCAGGCTTATCTCCTCTAATTCACACAAGCCTTAGGTCAATTCTGCAGAAATCAGACACTGAGTTGGAGACATATGATGTACATGCAGAAAGTTTGTTGGTGAATGCCTTTGTGATCAACATCTGTGGGGAGTAAAGGCAGTGAGACTGGGAGGCAGTGGGAGAGGAAGGAATTGCACTAAGACGTCACTGCAGCAAAGGTCTCAGCAGATCCCACTGGGTGCTTGAGCTGGGAAGGCCTTTGAGAGATGTATCTTCTTTTAATTTTTTTTTTTTTGAGACTGAATCTTGCTCTGTTGCCCAGGGTGGAGTACAGTGGCACAGTCTTGGCTCACTGCAACATTTGCCTCCCGGGTTCAAGCAATTCTCATGCCTCAGCCTCCGGAATAGCTGGGATTACAGGTGTGCGCCACCACGCCTGGCTAAGTTTTGCATTTTTAGTAGAGATAGGGTTTCACCATGTTGGCTGGGCTGGCCTCAAACTCCTGACCTCATGATCTGCCCACCTCAGCCTCCCAAAGTGTTGGGATTACAGGCATGAGCCACCTCACCCACCTGAGAGTTGTATCTTCTTGAGGCAAAGAGAGTAGGTTTTTATATATTCCCATTCCCCACCCACATACCCCATCAATGGTTATTAGATATAGATGCCCCAGCAGAAGGTGTTACCATGGGGAAGACAATTTCTCATCAGCTGAGAGCCATCACCTGTCACTATTTCTAGCAGTTGGGGATAGATGCAATAGCACTGAAGTGGGACTGTCTGGGCAGCCCCCCATAGCATTCAGTATGGTATTATCTCCATTTTTACACAAGAAAACAGAGACTCCTAGAGTTTAACCACATGCCCAAGGTCACACAGGTACTAAGTTGAGGTGTCATGATGAACCCCAGACAGTCTGATGACTCTCATGCATCTGTGTTGTACTCACAAGAGTAGACTAATATCCTGTAACAAATACCCTCTACACACACACACTGAAATCCAGGTGCTTAAAGAATAAGAAGTTGATTTTTAATGGCTCACACTTTGAGCTGCTGTTTTGTCTCCTCCCAGTCGCTGCAAACAAGATAAACTAGTACACAAGAAAGATAATTTTGAAGAGAGAAAAGTGCTCTGAAGAAAATGAAATGTATTAATGTTGAGTTAATATACTGTTGGCACTTTTACTTTCTGCCACCACCAGCTATCACACACACCGTGTGTGTATGGTGGAGACCACTAGTTCTCCCATTCGCCTACCTGGGAACACAGCTGATGTCATTACCCAGTTTCACTTGTAGTGATATGGGCCATTTCCCAGCCTGGCAAACAGAGCCTCTATATGTCCTTCTCCATGCTCCTTCCTTATGCCTGTGGGCTTTAGTGGCCAGAGTAGTCTCGGAAGCTGGTACAGAGTTATGGCTGCTGTGGTCCTGGCTCTCTCAGTGATTCCATGGAGCAGAGAGCCCTTGACCTAGAGTCTTCACCCTGGACTGCTACATGAGATAGTAAATGTATTCTTTAAGCCCCTGGATTTTAGTGTGTCTGTGTAGCGGTATTTGTTACAGGATCTTAGTTTAGTCTCATGAGTACTGTGTAGAAATTTATTTAAAATACTTTAGTATAAGCTGTATAAGGTATGAATAGTTATTATTAGGGTGGCATGATAATTTTATTTGTTGTCAACTTGGCTGGGACATAGTACACAGATATTGACTGAACATTATTCTGGATGTTTCTGTAAAGGTGTCTCTGAATGAGATTAAAGTTTTAAAAGGTAGAGTTTGAGTAAAGCAGATTAGTATACATAATGTGGATGGACTCCATCCACTCAGTTGAAGGCCTACATAGAACAAAGACTGACGTCTTCCATCCAAGAAGGAATTTTGCTGGCAGATTGCCTTTGAGCTGCTTCTGTAACGTCATCTCTTCCTGGTTCATCAGCAGACTGCCTTTGGACTTGAACTCTAGCTCTTTCTTGAGTCTCCAGCCTGCTGGCCTACCCCATCAGATTTTGAACTCTCCAAGCTTCTGCAATTACATGAGCCAATTCTTTAAAATAAACCTCTCTCTGTCTCTCTGTATACATGACACACACGCGCATGCCTCTTGGTTCTGTTTCTCTGGTAATCTCTGACTAATACAGGTAGTTGTTATCATTCAAAGCACCCAAGTGAGGGCTCTCTACTTCAGAGACAGATACAGCATCTTCGTAAGATGTTATAGAAATCTATTCGAAAAGGTTTATTAATTATCATAAAGAATAATATAAATACTTTTTAAAATTGGTGATACAGAGTATATTAAAAAATGCTTGGCTAGCTAAAGAGATTTTTCAGACACCATTGCCATTATCAGTATGACTTACGAGAATCTGTCAGGTGCAATAGCATTAGGCAGAGCTCTATTGGGCCAGGCCACATGTCCCCCTGCCCCACAGAGGACTCTACTGAGCCTGATCCAACTAGGAGTCTAGCTGATTCTTCTGTTAGAGTTTCTTTGTGCCTACCTCTGAGTGAGCCTCTCATGCAAGGAGTGTGCTGATGAGCCTGAGGACAAAGAAGAGAGACCTTACCCAGCTTTAAGGGACTGGCTGTATTGGCTATTTTTTTGTGTTTGTTTACTAATCAATATCATATAGGTGGCCCAATTTGATGTGAAAATTGCTTTCATTCTAACCTAATGTATCCTTTTTCACTTTTCCTCTCTGAAGGCTGTCACTGTTTACCTAAAGAACTGACCATTGTTGAGTGACGAGCTTGACTTAGATCAGTTCCCCCAGGAAGGAATTGAAGGAATTAAGGCAGCATAGAGCAGCATGGGCAAGAACATGGACGGTGGTTTTAAAGGACCTGGATTTGAGTCCCAGATCTGCTGCTTGTTAGTTGTATGGTCTTGGTCAACACATTCTTCCTTCTCACAGTTTCTTTAAGTACAGTCATCCTTCAGTTTCCACAGGGGATTGGTTCCAGGACCCTCATGGATACCAAAATATGTGGATACTCAAGTCCCTTATATAAAATAGTATT